AAAAAAAGAAAGGAGCACTAGTTAAAAATTATTTTGTCTATTCTTAATTTTTCCTCAAATAAGACACAAAGACTTTCCAAACATTTTTTTCAGCAATCATCTATGTTAACATTTTAAATTAGCTCTAAATATAGCAGATGATTAACTGGATGAAAATAAGCTGGCTGTTGTCATTTAGATTTTTAAGCTGATAAACTTCCTAAAAGGAACAAAACAAATCTTATTTAAATCACTGTCCTTGGTTGGGTGGTCTAGCCGTAGATCTGAAATGCATAAAAAGAAATAATAGCAAGTTCAGATTAACTAATATGCTAGGGTTTTTAAAAAGGAAGAAAAGCTAAAGAACTTGTTGTTGTTGTCAGTTGAGAAGTCATGTCCGACCTATCGTGACCCCATGGACAACGTTCCTCCAGGCCTTCCTGTCCTCTACCATCCCCTGGAGTCCATTTAAACTCACGCCTACTGCTTCAGTGACTCCATCCAGCCACCTCGTTCTCTGTCTTCTTTTGCCCTCAATCTTTCCCAGCATTAGGCTCTTCTCCAGTGAGTCCTTCCTTCTCATTAGGTGGCCAAAGTATTTCAGTTTCATCTTCAGGATCTGGCCTTCTAAAGAGCAGTCAGGGTTGATCTCCTCTAGGACTGACCGGTTTGATGGCCTTGCAGTCCAAGGGACTCGCAGGAGTCTTCTCCAGCACCAGAGTTCAAAGGCCTCAATTCTTTGGTGCTCAGCCTTCCTTATGGTCCAACTTTCACAGCCATACATTGCAACAGGGAAAACCATAGCCTTGACTATATGCACTTTTGTTGGCAGGGTGATGTCTCTGCTTTTTAGTACGTTGTCTAGATTTGCCATAGCTTTCCTCCCCAGGAGCAAGCATTTTTTAATTTCTTGGCTGCAGTCCCCATCTGTGGTGATCTTGGAGCCCAGGAAAATAAAATCTGTCACTACCTCCATTTCTTCCCCATCTATTTCCCAGGAATTGAGAGGGACGGATGCCATGATCTTAGTTTTCTTAATGTTGAGTTTCAAGCCAACTTTTGCATTCTCCTTCTTCACCCGCATCAAGAGGCTCTTTAGTTTCTCTTTGCTTTCTGCCATTAGAGTGGTATCATCTGCAGATCTGAGGTTGTTGATATTTCTCCCAGAAATCTTAATTCCAACTTTTGAAATCTCCCAGAAATCTAATTCCGCCTTTCTCATGAAGTGCTCTGCATATAAGTTAAGTAGGCAGGGCAACAGTATATAGCCTTGCAGGACTCCTTTCCCAATTTTGAACCAATCAGTGGTTCCATGTCCAGTTCTCACTGTTGCTTCTTGACCTGCATATAGGTTTCTCAAGAGACAAGTAAGATGGTCTGGTACTCCCATCTCTTTAAGAACTTGCCACAATTTGCTGTGATCCACACAATCAAAGGCTTTAGCATAGTCAGTGAAGCAGTAGGAGATGTTTTTCTGGAACTCCCTAGCTTTCTCCATGATCCAGGGTATATTGGCAATTTGATCTTTAGTTCCTTTGTCTCTTTGAAATCCTGCCTGTACTTCTGGTAGTTCTCGATCCACATACTACTGGAGCCTAGCTTGTAGGATTTTAAGCATAACCTTACTAGCATATGAAATGAGTGCAATGATGCGATAATTTGAACATTCTTTGGCATTGCCTTTCTTTGGAATTGGAATGAAAACTGACCTTTTCCAATCCTGTGGCCAGTGTTGAGTTTTCCAAATTTGCTGGCAAATTGAGTGTAGCACTTTTACTGCATCATCTTTTAAGATTTTGAATAGCTCAGTTGGAATACTGTCTCCTCGCTTTGTTGTTGCTCAGATTTCCTAAGGTCCATTTGACTTCACATTCTAGGATGTCTGACTCGAAGTCAGTGACCACCCCATCGTGGTTATCAGGGATGTTAAGTTCCTTCTTATATAGTTCTTCTGTGTAATTTTGCCACCTCTTCTTAATCTCTTCTGCTTCTTTTAGGTCCCTGCCATTTTGGTCCTTTATCATGCCCATCTTTGCATGAAACGCTCCCTTCATATCTCCAATTTTCTTGAAGAGATCTCTGGTCCTCCCTACTCTATTGTTTTCTTCTATTTCTTTGCACTGTTCATTTAAAAAGGCATTCTTATCTCTTCTAGCTATTCTCTGGAATTCTGCATTCAACTGGGTGTATCTTTCTCTTTCTCCCTTGCCTTTCGCTTCCCTTCTTTCTTCAGCTATTTGCAAAGCTTCCTCAGACAACCATTTTGCTTTCTTGCCTTTCTTTTTCTTTGGGATTAGTTTTAGTTACTACCTCTTGTACAATGTTGCGAAGCTCCATCCATAGTTCTTCAGGCACTCTGTCTATCAGATCTAATTCCTTAAATCTATTTGTTAAATCTATTTGCTAAAGAACTAGTATTGCTCATTTCTACATTAAAACATTTTGAATGAACACCAACAAATAAAAAGTTATTTAATGATAACACCTGATGATTAATTAATTGCCTACCTGCTACATAGCTGTTCTTAGACACACTTTAACTAGAACTGAAGATTGAATCAAAGTGCAGAGTCTTCAATACTAGATACTCATAAGTCTTTTATGTTATATAATATTTATATTATGCCAACAGCTTTTTAAAACTTCAGTTTTAAGACTTAAGAATTAAATAGTTAGTTGCAATTTAGCAAACTATGGCTGGTTGTGAATTTCTTGTGGCCAGTTTAAAAAGAATTAATATTTATTATTTCACTTGTCTCATGACTTACATATTTTTTCCCAAAAGCACAAGACAGTATTCATAACATTTGTCCTCCATTTTTTCTATCATCCTTGAGATAACAAGGGATTAAAACAGAATGGGTGTTCCCAAATCTCTTAGGGGGCTTCCATGGCTGAGGATGGACATGGATCTCCATGATCCAGGTCCAGTTACTCAATTATTACACCACACTGTTGAGAATATTTATGAAATATAAATCAGATCAGTATTTTGACATTAATGTTGCAGTGAAGCCTTTATCAATCCTCTCAACTCAAAAGTGGAAAGAAGTATAAATGGGAGAAAACCACAAAAACTTCTTGGAAGTTTAGAACCCAACTGAATTCATATAATCCTGGCCATAATCTAAAGCAGAAGCATTTTGAAGAACTGAAATGAGCTACTACTGAAATCCCTAAAGCTAATCTGTGTACTTACATTTCTAGATCAAAGATAGTTATTTCTTACAAGGTGTACTTGAATGAAAGGGGAGGAGAAATAACATTTCTGGAAATGTAGAAGCTATGGGCATGAGAAAACAATTTCATATGAACAATATATAGGTAGTCCTCGACTTACAACCACAATTGATCCCAAAATTTTTGTAGCTAAGTGAGACCGTTAAGCGAATTATGGCCATTTTACAGCCTTTCTTGCCACAGTTCTTAAGTGAATCACCGCAGTTGATAAATTAGTAAGACGGCTGTTAAGTGAACAAGGCTGCCCCACTGACTTTGCTTATCAGAAGGTTGCAACAGGTGACCACATGACCCCAAGACACTGCAACTGTCATAAATATGAGCAAGATGCCAAGCATTCGAATTTTGATTATGTGACCATGGGGATGCTGCAACAGACGTGTGAAATACAGTCATAAGTCAATTTATTGTAACTTTGAACATTCACTATATCATCATCATTATCTTCTTTTAACGACCCCATAATCCCTTGCGGGGTGGAGTCTGAGCAACTGAATGAAACTGAGTGTTTACTGGCCGGATGCCCTTCCTGTTGCCAATGCGGAGTTATATTCAGCAAATATATTCTCAAAATGCCCAGAGAGAGAAATATCTACCTCTACCTAGGATCAAACTCACAGCCTCCTGATTGTGAGGTGAGAGCTCCACCTCTAGGCCACTTTTTGAACATTCACTAAATGAACTGCTGTAAATTGAGGACTACCTGTATAAAATTGTTATATATAGTAATATATACAAGAATACATTTCCTATGCTTTAACAACGTAAAATGCAGCACTGAACTAAAAGGACATTCAAACTGTTCTATCTGGCACATTTATAACTTTTGAGGGACAATCCTCACAGCCCTTATAATTGTTCCTGCCCTACTGCAGAATTTTTTCATATATTTATTTGAGTGCAATCAGATTTAAACTATAGGACAGCTTTTTTTGCTTTATATAAGCAAAGGGCAGGTACAGAATGCTTATTTCTCATACGCCTAATCTAGATCAAAGGTTATCCTAAGCAAGAAAGGAGCAATTTACAAGAAAGCAAGGGCACAGGGTTTTTCTGCAATGAGGATGGGAATACATGAGAATACATGGAAATATATTTCAGAAATTTAGTATTATATAAATGAAAATTGAATCCTAATCTTACAAATATCCCAGTTTTTTATATTTTACAGGATTTTTTAAGGATCCTTCAAAATTTCCATTGGACAAAAGTCCAGAGCTAGGGCTGTAGCAGCCTCATGCTCTGTTATTTAATAAAAAAAATAAATAGTATATTCTGGCATTGAAAGAAATTTTCTTTTGTAGGGCAGCCTTCCTTACATGGGAGACAACAGGATCACTAAGCGTAACAAATAACACGAATGTACATTTCAAGATATGCCTGTAACAATCCTCTCCACCATTTATACATATACATCAAATTACTATATCAGCATTTGCACTTTGGAAGGCATTAATTTGCAATCATTTTCCAAATACTTTTCTCTACATGATTAAAAGATAAATCCGGGAGAAAATCCTGAAGCCTACCCATGAAGCAGGTTGACATATTAAATTCTTGTAACAATAACCATAAATTTCTATACACGCCCTCCAATTCCTTCTTTTAGAAGCCCGTTCTTTTAACAATGTTTTTCTAGATGGTCTATTACAGCTGGCCTCCATATCACCTTTCCAGATGCTAAAACTCAAGAGGAAAAGTCCAAAATCTGCAGGCAGTTTTATGAGCTAGAATTAATTACACCTACCTCAATGAAATCATTTATTTAACATTTAGGATACATTTCTTCAAAGTAGTCAATGTGTGGTGGCTGGAGTATGTCGAGAGCGGAGAGTACCTAGGAAATAAGATGGAAGCTGATTTATTACCAAAGCCTCATTTTACAGAAGGAAATGAATGAACAAAGGAAAAATATCTTCAGTTTGCAACTGTATCTTTGATGGTGGGAAGGGCAATATAAATTTTGGAAACCTGAGACAGAAACTCATCAATGGAAAGAGCAATGCTGATATTTTATCATAGCAGATTCAAGGATTTAATAAAGTCAATGTTTAGATTCCAACAAATACACACACACATCATCATACACCTGGATATGTTTGTTTAGTTATTTATTATATTATCTAATATATTATTTATTATAGATTAGAATAGAATAGATTAGATTAGATTAGATTAGAATGGAATGGAATGGAATGGAATGGAATGGAATGGAATTTTTTATTGGCCAAGTGTGATTGGACACACAAGGAATTTGTCTTGGTGCATACGCTCTCCGAGTACATAAAAGAAAAGATACATTCGTCAAGAATCATAAGGTACAACACTTAATGATAGTCATAGGGAAACAGTCAATATAGTGGGAGGAGATGGATGATAGGAACAATGAGAAGATTAATAATAATAGTAATGCAGACTTAGTGAATAGTTTAACAGTGTTGAGGGAATTACTTGTTTAGCAGAGTGATGGCGTTCTGGAAAAAACTGTTCTTGTGTCTAGTTGTTCTGGGTGTGCAGTGCTCTATAGCGTCGTTTTGAGGGTAGAATTTGAAACAGTTTATGTCTAGGACGCCCAGGGTTAGATGTATTATCATGTATTATCAAATGTATTATCTAATATAATAAATACACTTTTTCAAATGAAATGCTCAGTTGAATGCACAAGATCGAAGACTGCTGAAGCAAAATAAAAACATAGTTAACTTTCAGAGAAGGTTTTGGATAAGCCCTCAGAACAATTCAGGTTAAACTCCACCTCTATTTATTTATTTATAACATTTATTGGCCACCATAATTTGTTTATTCATTTAACTAACCATGACAACACCTTAGACATTTCTGTGTTGAAAAAATATAGGTTACAAGTAATAATGGTTTCTTAAAATAATTTGAAATAAAATGATTTAAGGCTTTAAAAATTAGAACCATCCTTTTGAATTGGTCTCAGAGACACACTGGGAAACACAGCCGGCATTAATAACTGTATCTCATGAATCAACAAAATCAGCTCCAGAATTGACAGTCTGATCAATGAGTAGGCAATCTGATGTTTTGCATCCCTTTTGATTAATTTTAATTACTGTAGTGCTATAATACAAAAAAGAACGTGAGGCAACATGGACAATAGTATACTGGGACAATTTTTGTGTTTCTGGTATGATACGAAAGTGCCACATCAAACATTAGGTACATCCACTCCATACTGAAAAAACCTGAACAGGCAGAATTCATTTTTGAATTTCTTGAATTTCAACTGCCTCACATTTTTTTTATATTACAGCACTCGTGAAAATTAATCAAAACCTGTCATTAGGAAGATAGAGTCAGCTGCTAAAGAAATCTCCAATTGCTGGTTAGACTATGTATATGAGAGATAGAACATTTTGCTTGATTGGTCAAAGAAACACATCTGGAACAGCAAGCTTTCAGTTATCCTCCTTATTTGGTAAACGCAGGATAGTGCTCAAAAAGAGGGGACTGCCTAACCATGATGTCATTCCAACTGTCCCTCTTGCAATCATCTCTGAATATTGCTGAAATCCTGTATTATATTGAAGTAGATAATAAGTAACTAATTGTACTGATTATATTTGGAATTCTTGATTACATTTGGAATTCTGGATTCATTGGTGCTTTCCCTTGTTTTTCAGGCATTCCTGTTTCTCAATAATAACTTGCTGATATTTAGAGATCTGACATCCATTGCTTAAAAAAAAATTGTGTTTCGGCATTGGCACGGCTTTTTAAAAATTATTTCTAGATTTGGGGCAGAAAGATCCAAAATTTCTTTCTTATGTTTTCTTTCTTATGGCTGGGCTTAGCAGAAGGAATAAGAAGTTTCCTAATCAGGAGATTCAGATTGACTGGTTGAAATCTATTGTAATGATTTTTTTCCTAGGGAATTCATAGAAGGAGTTTTCTGGTGAGTTACAAGCTGGAAGAATAGTTAAGGAAACAGTAGTCTAAAACACATATAGAATACCAGGTTGCCTTTTTGACACTCATACCAAAATGTATCCCACTTATTACAAGGTTATATTCCACTTATTAAAATATTCCACTTATTACAAGATTATAAATAAGAAGAACAGATATTCTGGCTTAACCTCTCTCTGCAAAGTGGAGGAAATCCTTACTAGGAAAGCGTATGCAGCAAAGAAAATCTTTTTTAATTTGGCAGAAATAAGTGTGTTTGATTCCAGTGGCTGCAGTACATATATTTAATTTCTCAAGACATTGTGTCTTAAATCACTGCACCTTTTACATTTCAATTTGTATATGGTTGATCTGTTTTATTGGGTTGCTTCACCTATAACTACCTGGTTTTCCACCAGCTGGAGTTTATAGTTGGTTTTGACAATGTTGCTATCTCTACAAACTATGTCTATTTATGGTAGGCTTTCTTATTGATAGTTGTAACATCTGTGTTTACCTGTTAGCATCTGCCCTAACAGAACATAGATTCCATATTTACACTGGCTGTCTTAAGTGATGGCTGTCATTAAAGTGATGACCACTACATGACTGATTAGTTTTAAAAAGAAATGAAATGGCATGAAGTCTAGATGAAATTCCCAAAGAAAGGAGAGAAAATGAGAGAAAGCATAATAATAAAGTAGGAGTAATGAATTCTGGAGTGTGTTTTCAAACATACATACTGGTACATATACAATAGTAGTAAAATTGGGCTCAGTGGTGTAATGATCTGTTTTATGACTGTCACGACTTGCAACTGTAATTACCAGGTTCAATTACAGTATTAACTCAAAAGTCACCTATATTATTATTTTATTTGGGGGGGGGGCATGTTGGACTTACTATTCTGTGGTGTTACAGTGGTTAGAATACAGCATGGCAGGCTAATTCTGCCTACAGCCTGGAGTTCGATCCTGACTGGCTCAAAGTTGACTTAGCCTTCCATCATTCCAAAGACCCAGATTATTGGGGGCAATATGCTGACTCTGTAAGATAGGGCTGTAAAGCACTATGGGGCGGTATATAAGTCTAAACTGTTTCTACTCTTGCTATTTAGGGTTAGCCACTTGAAAAGCATTCACAAATAATACTTGTCCGTTATAAGTATTTTCCCATTATCTGTTCTGATTCTAAAGCAGGCCAACCCAGAACTCTAAGTCTTGCACTTAAATATTCACTAACCTTGTCAAAGTCCAATCAAGTAAAATCACTAGCTGTATTTTAGTTCTATTTTACAAAGAAAGATTTTTCCTTATTTAGAATATATCATAGTTGGTTTCTTAAAATGATATTAGGATACTTTGGTGACTTTTACCACAAAATAGCCATATAACATATTACTGAATTACCTTGGTATTTCTTACAAAACCCCTAAATCTTCCTCGTTCAGAAGAACATGGTCATTTTTTATTTACCAAAAATGCATGTGATACAAGCATCATGATCCTATCATGTTTCTCAGTCTGCTTATTTTTTAAATTTCTGTGTCAACTTATCAGAATTGATAGGCAGCATTCCAGATTACTCAAATCCTATTCTTGAAAAATCAACAGACAAATACAGAGTTTAAAAGATAATTGAGTACTGAACAGAACTTGACCAGAAGGAATTATATTTGTTTCTTTTAAGAAACCAACATCTTTAGAACTAATGTAAAACATTTATTTAACAAAATACAAAACACAAATTCATTGCCAAGTTAAAACCACAAAAGCCAAATTGTATAAACTTGTACAGGTAATAAACCAAGACTGGAACAAATGCCTTCTTCTAGACACAGCGTTCCGTGTGACAGTGTTCTGTGTGCCTTTGGCGTTGAGTCATGCTGGCCACATGACCACGGAGACGTCTTTGGACAGCGCTGGCTTTTTGGCTTTGAAATGGAGATGAGCATCGCCCCCTAGAGTCAGGAACGACTAGCACATATGTGCGAGGAGAACCTTTACCTTTACTTGATATAATTAATTATTCATTATTTAAAATTAATTATATTATGTAATTGATGGTTAAGTATTTAATATTATTAAATTATGCAATATTAATAACTAATTAATATTAAAGGAATATAACATTAATATAATTAATACGTTCCTAAAACATATGAAGAATGGTTGCAGGAATTGGGTACATCTAGTATAAGAAAAAGAAGGACTGGGGTGTTCCAATATTTGAGGGGCTAAGAGTTAAGTGTTAAAAGGGCAATGCAGAGGGAGTGGGAAGAGCAGCTTTGCCTTCCAGGTTAGGTTTCAAAGAAGGCAAAGCAGCTCCCTCTGCATTGCCCTTTTAACACTTAACCCTTCATTGTCTGTTCTCCGTCTCACTGCTCTTGTTTCTCCCCCTTCCTTTTAAAACTTTTTTTTTACCAGGAAATATAGAAACTGCCAAACACAAACTATGGCTCATTATCCTGTTTTGAGTTAAAGAGGCCATGCAGAAAGGCAGAAGGCAGGGGAAATGCTGCTTTGCCTAGGTCAGTTTGGAAACAGCTGCTCCACATGGCCCAGTTTAAAAACGGCCTATAATACTGAATTCTGCAGATCTCCGGTAGGTAAACAAGGCATTTTGAGGGGTGGAACAGTGGGGCAAAGCTGGCCCAGTCTCCCAGGGACCCAACAGGGCAAGGACGGGGTGGGGGAGGGGAGGGGAAGAGATAGATGGGCGTGCTTTAGCATCTCTGCAAAGTTATGAAGCCGTTCAGTCATTCGTAAGTGCAAATGACAGGATAACATTTGTAAAATTTTTATCTTCGAATCATGATTGTACATGGCTTTTGGGAGGTCAGTTGTAACTTTGTATGGTCACTAAATGATCTGTCGTACCTCAATGATTACCTATATAGTCCTGGTTGTCACAAAGAGAAAAAAAAACTATTTTGATGCAAACCAGTTCTACATACAAGAGAAAAGTGTAATTCATACATAGTCTTAATTTTTTTTAAATTAAAGAAAAACTTTTGTGCTGCTAACAGAGTTCATTTAATATACAGTTGCAGTGATTTTATATCCTAGTAAGCCAAAGCTTATAGTAATAACTTTAGGACCATAATTTTAAAAAATGTATCTTTGTTAAATGTTAAGGCCAGATAACCTCTAGCATCCTGTTTTCTTTTCATGGTTTTATTCTGAGACCAACTTCAAAGAATGATCCTCAGGCAAAGAAAACATCAAAACTGACCTGAATCTGCAATGTTTAGAATCTGATCGTTTCAAACCATCACTAATCAGAGACAGAGATGGGAGGTTGTGAATACAAATACACATTTAAGCTACCCCTTTCATTCTTCACAATGCTTGCATAGTTACTATTAAAAGTTGTTTTCATCAGCTGTCTATACAGTCTCCAGAGCCATTAACATACCAGCACATCAGGTTTCTGGAGCCAAAATATGACTATAAATTAACAGCATTGAAGTAAAATGAGTTGTGTCATTTTTTAAAATAGTACACCACATGACATGACTGTCTTAATTCTGCTCCAAATTTCAATGAACAACAATCTGAATCTGCTTTAAAGAAACAAAGAAAGTACAGCACATTATATTTGGAATTATTTTTTTCTTGGATTTGTTGCGGAAAATTTTGCCATTAATAAGAATTAAAAGTTCACATACATTCTTAGTCCTTATAAAATTAAGATAGATCTGGAATTAGTCAGTCTGTAATGCTAAAGCTGCCAGATAAAGCTTCCCTTAGGCCTCTTTTGAGTTTATAGCTTAAGTCAGACCTGAACTAGCCTTCCTGCCCCAGTGCTCACAATCTGAAAAGCTACACTAGAGGTATATCAACTCTTTACTGTTCACCTCAAAGAGACTTAATCTTAGCTTTCAAATGAAATACTTGCACTGGATCATACTTTTAGATTCTTGCAAATATTTTGCCAAAAGGGAAAAAAGGGAAAGGGATTAGGTTATAAGGTATCACAATTTTATCCTGGGGGATTCTGGAATGAATAACTTGAATTTCATCTTTGGGTCCTAGGAAATATTCATACAGGATTACTCGAAGTACTGGCTCTGCTCGATTCTTAACCTGCTCCAATTTAGATGCTTAAAAATGATGTCTGCATTACATCACATCAGCCCCCCCCCTTTTTTTAGCTTTTCTTAGTTACATTGTTATTGTTTGCTTCCCCTAATACTATTTATGTTTTGTCATTTAGCTAAACTATAGTCTGGCATTATGACATTATTGCTCTACCTGGCATAAGGTGAATTAGGAGATAAAGGCTGATGTCTTGTTTGATTAATTGACCCTGCCAAAGCCTCCGGATCCAGAAATGTAGTTTTAACTATAATTACTTTAAGACAAAACAAATTCAGTATTTATATGTATTTATTTAATCAACTTGTATAGCTGCTCGTCTCAAACCAGTGACTCTGGTTGGCAAACGATCATAAAAACAATTAAAACAGTTGAAACACAACACAAAAAAGAAATTAAACACAAATAGCTGTCAAGCGATATTATAATCCAACAGTATCAATGTAACCAAGAATTATCCTTCACATAATTGGGACCTTAGGCCCAAGCACACAGCCAGATCTTCAATGCCTTCCAAAAGATTAGCAGGATTGGGTCCATCCTAATCTCTGGAGGAAGAATGTTCCAGAGAGCAGAAGTTATGGCAGAGAAGGCACACCTCTGGGTCCCCACCAGCCAACATTTTTTGGCTGATGGGACCTCCAGCATTCCCATCCTACTGGAAAGGGTTGGGTATGTAGAAACAACATGGAGAAGATGGTCTTTGAACAACCCAGTCCTAAACCATGAAGGGCTTTAAAGGTGGCAATCAACAGTTTGAATTACACCTGAAAACACACTGGCAAACAAAGAAGCCCCCAAACAGTGGTGTTAGATGGGATGAATAGCCAACACCATTTATAATTTATACATCTGAATCTTCCTCAGGACCAGCCCCATGTAGACCACATTTCAGTAGTCCAAATGGGAGGTCATGAAGGTATGAATGACAGTGAGAAGAACCTCTCAGTCCAGAAATGGGTGCAGTTGGCACACAAACTGAAGGTGTGCAAAGGGCCTCTTAGCTACGGCTACCACCTGCTTTCCTGACTCCAAGGGACACCTGGATTTTGCATCAGGTCCATCTGAGGGAGTGCCTCCCCCCCATCCAGTATCAGAAGTAGAAAAACCTTGGTACTGGAAGGCCCAAGCACCCAAAGCCATCAGTCTTGCTTGGGTTGAGCCTAAGCTCATTGTTCCCCATCCAGACCCCTAGTCTTCACGGCTGGTCACAAGGACATCCACAGTATCATTCAGACAGCCTGGGGTAGAAATGTAAAGCTGGGTTTTTCATCAGCATATTGATGACACCTCTCCTCAAACTGTCAGATCATCTCACTCAGTGGCTACAGGTAGATGTTAAATTAAAAGGAAGAGAAATGAGCTTTGCAGTAGCCCACAAAGTAGGGTTCATGGGCTGGATCTCTGTCATCTTTATCAGCACTGGCTGGAACTGATTCCAGAGAAAGGAGGAAAACCAGCATAACATTGTGCTTCCTATCCCCATCCCATCCCATCAGAGGTCATCCAAGAATGTGAACAATGCTGTTTCAGTCCCAAACTTTGGCCTGAACCCAGACTGAAAAGATCCAGATAATTCAGTTCATCCAAGGCCCTTTGAAGCTGCCATGTGACCATTTTCTCTACAACCTTTCCTAAAAAGGGAAGGCTGGAGACTTGGATGAAACCTATTGAGATTAGTGGAGTTGAGTGATGGCCCCCTTGAGGAGGGGACACATCACCACCTTCTTAAGAGCCAGCAGGACCACCCTCTCTTAAAGAGGAATTAAATGAAACCCAATCACATAAACATCTATAATCAATCTATGGTCTCAGTTTGAAGCTTGTTTGAAACTACCTTGACTTAATATTTATTACAGTCTCTCTAGACACATTACATATTGTGGTTAATTTGAAACAGAAATGAAAGCTTTCCAAATTCTCTGGGATGTTTGGGAAGAGGAAGGGAAGAGAAGCACAAGGTTCACTGCAGTTCATTTCTTTCATGCCTAAGCAATGGCTTAGGGCAACATGCAAGCACACTATTGATACTTTACTGTCCTAGAAAGTAAAGGAATCATCTCAGATATAATGTGTCATTTTTATACATTTCCTTGGAGGTATTGGCTGTTTATTTTAAGTGAACAGGTGTATTGCAACATAGAAAGCGGATTCAACTGGATTTAGATTTTAGATGTCTCCATAGTTCTAAAAAAGCTTTGTTGCCGCTGATAACAGATGTAATTTACTCAGAAATTGTTGTCCTTTTTTCTAATGCCTATGAATATTTGTAAGGTTTTAGAGTAACCTTTGGTTAGAATGCTAAAAAATGCAATGAAAATATATGAACCACTCACATTGTCATGCTTAAAAAAACACAACATCTTCAATTCACGGAAGACCCTTTTGCAAGAGACCAGATTTTGGAAGACGTTGGGCATCTTTTTGAGTGCAACTCTCTTTCCATCTCGTGGATCGGTTACTGACCTACAGGAAAACAAGAATAAATATAAATTTTATTTTAAGCAACTTATATCCTTACAAAGAGAAAAGACAGATGAACGAATTTCCTAAATAAATCCACATATTAAGAGCCAGACAAAACTCCTGAATGAGTCTTGCTGCTTTTTATTGTTTCCATTCAATGAATTCCAACTCTGCTTCGATATATCACTACCCTGCATGTTATTGGGCTACAGAATTTCTGTACACTCAGATCCTTCAGTCCTGTGTTAGTAAAACTCTTTGCCTCCAGTGTACAATGTTTTTTATTCTCCAAATGTGGGTCATAGGTAGCCCTGGGGAGGTCTGAGGTAGTGGTCGCTAAGCAACTTGTTGTAAATCGAGGACTACCTGTACAAAGCTTTGGATTACTGGGGAACAGAATAGGAAGACATGTATCTCATGTATCATGGTATTTCCTGAGTGAAATTACTGTAGTCTCCTCTGCAGTAAAAATTGTTAAATTTGATCTAAGAATGTCAACATAGGATGCTGCTGCTTAATCTGATGACATAAAACGGATATAAAATAGTCCTAGAACATTGAAACAGACTATCTTTACGAGAAAATAAGTAGCTACCTCATACTGAAGCTAATTTGTTGATCTATCACGTCTCAATTCTTTTAAAAATATTTGTTTTAAAATGAACAAATAATTAAAAATTATAAAAATATAAAAGTATCTGTTAATAATTAAATAATGATTATACAGTGAAGAAAAAAAAACAATTATATACATAAATTAGCTGAGCATAAAAAAAAAACCCTAGCAGAAAAATCTATACAATAAAACCACAGATAGTAGCCACATGAAAGACCCTATATAAAATAAAGTTTATTGATTGTAAAGCTTAGCATTAAATCTAGATCAGGGATGTCAAATTGGCGGCCCGTGGGCCAGATGCATCAAGTGCAGGCCATGCCCACCAGAGCTCCACAAATGGGAAAAATGTCATGAAATGTCATATGACGCGGCGAGTTTGACATCCGTGATCTAGATCATACAATAATCTAGCTATGCCACATTCTCAATTCATCCAGAGTATTATCTTTTTTTTTAAAAAAAACTGTCTTCTAAAAGATAAAACTCAAATTCTAGATCAGGGGTGTCAAACTCAAGGCCACTGGGCTGGGGCTGTCCCGCGGGGCACTTAGATCTGGCCCACGGAGCCATCCTGGAAACAGCGAAGGATCAGCCTGCAGTGTCCCTGTCAGCAAAAATGGGCTCCCAATCTCCATTTTTGCTGGCAGAGGGTTGCAGGAGGCTGTCCCAGCTGAAAATGGAGATTGAGAGCCCGTTTTCGCTAGCAGAGCACTCGGGCCACCACAGGCACCCCTGACACGAGTGACATCAAGCTGGCCATGCCCCCTGGCCACGCCCCCCGAGGTCAAACACAACCCTGATGCGGCCCTCAATGAAATTGAGCTTGACACCCCTGTTCTAGATCCATTTCTTTAAATCACAAGGATGATCTTCTTTGCATTATGTAAAATTATCCTCTTTGCCAAATCTTTGTAAAGGTCCTTCGTATGATGACAAAAGATATTAGGTTTCAGTACCATTTAATGCTGCCAGTAATTAGCTGTTCCAAATTTCAAACAGAGGTTGTTCTTAACCCTACCTCAACTGAATCCCTCCTGGGATTGAACCTGGACCTAATGCATAATGCATGTTCTAGCGGGAGCCAAGAAGGAAAAAAAAACAAGTAGTACCTCTTCAGAAATATCATTTCCAAAACAAGGATAAGGTTAAGCTTTTATCAGCAACTTTTATAACTAACTAAAATTCTTCATGTGCAGACTGTACTCAGGATTACTTCAAAAATACAGGTAGCCCTCCATTTACAATCATTCATTTAGTGACCATTCAGTTACAATGGCACTGAAAAAGTGACTTATGACCATTTTTCACACTTATCACAGTTGCAGTATCCCAGGATCATATGATAATCTTTTGCGACCTTCTGACAAGCAAAGTCAATGGGGAAGCCAGATTCACTTCTTGTGTTTACTAACTTAACAACTGCAGTGATTCACTTAACAACTATGGCAAGAAAAATCATAAAATGGGGGCAAAACTCATTTCACAGCTGTTTTCCTTAGCAATGGAAATGTTGGGCTCAATTGTGGTCGTAAATCAAGGACTACCTGTATGACTGCAAACACTACTGAAGTACATAAATATTTTATTATTTTATTCTAAAAACTGAGCAAAAGCCTCCCCAAAATTATCAGAACTATATCTTCATTAATTTAAAATGTTGTACAGAATGTAATAGTGCCATGTAATAGTTTCTGAAAACTTCAAAAATTCCACCATAAATAATCTGATATCTCAGTCATCGAAGAATGAACATAGGTAGTTTCTCAGCGTGGAATAATTTTTCCTTGTGTAAATAAATTTACTATTTTCTGTAAAATCTGTTAGAACAACTCAGTATGTGCCAATCACTGAGCATTGCTTAACATAAAACATTTATTTCTTTAAAAGTTACTCTTAAGTTCCATCTTGTCTTTTTACAGCTTGGAAAAGCATAAAAGAAAAAAAAAAGTTTCAACCTGTGGATGAAATATATCAAAATATTGACCTGCAACTTGTCTGTTAAACACCACTCAGAAAGCAAAATTTCACTTAATTATTCATACAATGGCTAGCCTTGCTAGCTCCTAGCAATCCTACCCTAATGAAAGTAAATGGCAGTGTGGTAATTTCACAGCATGTTGAGTTTGTTCTCTCTTAACTGGGGATAACAGCTGCTTTAGTTCAGCACAAATAGTACCAGAAATCAGAGATAAGTGTTGAAGACTGTTACACAGGAATGCTTTCCTTTTCTTTGCTGATGAAAAGGCTGGCTGCGCTCTTCAGCTTGTTGTCTCCTCCCCCCACCAAAAAAAAAAAATTCTGTATGAGCTAATGAGTTACAGCTGGTAAAGATAACAGCTACTTTTGACTGTACGTTCCAATGCCTCTTTTTTAAAAGCAATAATTCTAACATATTTGAACAAAACCAGTTTTTTTTTTAAAAAAAAGAATTAAAATCTACTCTATGAAGCAAACCATATCGAACCAAGATCCTTGTACAAGCTTTTGGGGGGACGTGGATTAATAGGACAATTATTTTTGACTTTGCTTAGTACGTATGTGCATGAAAAATTAATTTGTGCAGAGCCCAAGGGACAAAAAAGCAACATGATACTTGAAATGCTAATTGGTTTACTCTGGTACGAGTTTTTGTAGGCAACTGGCTGCATCATCAGATGTTTCATAAATCTGATAGAACAAACAATGTCCTGTGGAAGTTCAGGTTACATGACTATTTATATATCTTCAATTAGCATTTTATAGATCAAGATCAAAGAGTCTAAAGCCCATTCCTAGCAGTGTTTGTACCCTACATACTGACAGTGAAAGCAATAAAAGGGAAATATATGTGCCACGTTATTTACATTCAGAAGCCATCCCCATAGGTGAAAAAATATTTGTCAAAAATCATGATTTATTTACTAAATTTGAATTAAGGATCAGCTCAAATTCAAAGATTATGAGAGGGAAAAATTTCATTGTATATTATTTATAGTACCATACATGCATGCTTTTATATCCTTCTTTCATGTCTCCACTTAAATCATCTTCAGACTTAACTGTCACAGCCTTTTTTTCATCAGAGATACAGGTCCCTTAACATTTTGATTACTTTGTTTTGCATCTTTTCTAGCGCTATAACATAGTACTTGAATATGTGGCCAGAATTATACACAATGGTAGAATTGTGCCATAGATATGTATAACATTATTATTACTGTCAATGTTGTTAGTTTTTATCAGCAGTTCTATTTTCAAATCCCTTCATAAAGATTTTCCTTTTTTCACAGCAGCTGTACAATGCACCGGGACTTCAAAGATCCCTTTCCTAGTCAATCACTGCCAAATCCTGATCCTGTACACAGCTTTGGTAGAGAAACACATAGGGAGCGGAGGGAGGGAGGGGGCACCCACCTACCAGGCAGTTTAGGAGAATCATCCCTGGCTATTAGTGACACTTTAGATGTCACACTAGATTGCCTTCACATCCAATTCAGATCCTATTAAACATGTAGCCTGCATTTATTGTGAATAAGATTCCGTTTACTCTTATTTGCATTGTCACAGGTTCATTTTTGGATAATATATACAGAAACAGGAGAACAAGCATGTTTGTTTTACCTGCATAAGCCTTTATAGAATAGTTACAAAAATCAAGATTAGCTCTTGTTTTTGTCCTAATTTTATCATACCCCAGAGGTCCATCTTATTCCTTAGTATCAATACTTTCCCCCACTATTATCCTAAATGCTTAAATATATTTAAGTATACAGTAATTTTCCTCCCTGTCAGTCTGTTTTCCTCCCTGCAGATTTCTTTTGTAGTTGTGTTTGCTGGATTATTCTCCCCCCCATTTCTGTCAAACTGCTCATTTTCTATTCTTTGCTGTTGCAACTAGAGTTTTTCTTTTAATCAGAATGTTTATAATTACCTTTTTTCTACCTCCTAATTCCCCGATATTCCAGCAGCTCTTACCTGTATTTCACTGTCTTGTTCCCTGGGCTTCCTACTCATAACCAAAATAGTGTCCAAACACAATGCCCCCCCTCAAGCAATTCCCACAATAAGTTTCTGTCCGAGCTCTGTTTATCACTTAAATGGCTAGCAGGAGGCACAGAAAGATCAGAGATTCAAGTAGACTGGTTGCATTTTATCCAAAAGAAAGATCAAGATCATTTTGCATAATTTATTCTTGATAAATCCATGCCGATTCCTGCCAGGTAAATGATTTATTCTAAATCAGCGTCCCACAACCTTTTGGGCACCAGGGACTGGCTTCGTGGAGATTTTTCTGCAGGCTGGAGGGGGCATAGTTTTGTGTGCTGCCTGCATCCTGTGGATGGGGCTTCGCTTGTTTGCGTGGCCTGGTTTCTGGCATGCTGCAGCCCGTCCACAGAATGGG